GAATCCAAACAAACAAGAGTCTGGGCTGGTGGTGGTGGCCCAGCTTCAAAAGAGGCCCCTAGGCCAGTGCCAACATGAGTCTTGGTCACCCTATGCTGCTGGCTATGTGTTGCAAGGCTGGGTGTTGCAGGTGAGAGCTGGCCCTTGCCTCTCATCACCAGCCAGCAATACCTATGGCCTGGCTCAGGTTGATTCCCACGAACTTGCCAGCAATCTTACATGGAATGTGCCTTTCACTGGCTATCTGTCCTGCTGCCTAGGCAAGTCCTCCCCTGACCCTCCCCAAAACAGGATGAGCATCTCAGCTTGAGCTGGAGAGCTTTATTCTCAAGGTGATATTTATCCCAAAGAAGACATCCAGGGAGTCCTGGGGAGTGATGTGCCACACAAGAATCCAAACCAGGAAAACCTTTCAAAGCAAGGTTTAACGGAGCCTAGGCTAACCTCAGACTCATTATGTAGTTGAGGATGGATAGCCTTGAACTTCTGATGCTTCTTCCTTCAACTCTGCCATTCTGGGATTACAGATGTATACTACGGGTGCCTGGGTGCTTAGGTGTTGAATGTCAAACTCGGGTCTTTGTGTATTCTAGGCAAGCACCCTACCAAGTGAGCTATGTGCCCCACCCAAGGAAAGTTATTTTTTAACAGCTGGAGGAAGCTCTCTGAGGTGGGCAGCTTTCCCCAGGGGCATTCTAGGCAAGGCAGAGTGAGAAGTTGGCAGGGGTGTGTGAGTTGCTTGGTCCTTCATTTTCTTTGAGCTCCTACCCAATCTGAGATGCTAAGACTCTTGTAACTGAGTCTAATTTGGATTCTTCCTGCCTCTGAGCCTAAACTAGCTGATTCCTAGGACCCAGGTCCAACCCCTCCTTCTGCCTATGGGGCAGTATCAGCCCCGCCCTCCTGCTGTGGTCTGGAACCACTGCCAGGCTTCAGAATTGGCAGGTACCAAAGGGGCACGAAACACAATGGCTGAGCAGCTCCTTACAGGATCGTGTGCCACCTGTCTCCATCACCAACCCCTCCCGGTGGGCGGATGATTACATAACTTGTTTCCAAGTGTGGGACCATCCCATGGCATGTGGGTCCAGGATACCCTCATCCTGGGATAATGTTCTCTTGGATTTGGGAGCTGGACACAGCTGTGCCCATTTCCATGTTAGCTCACTCAGGGCCCGTTGGCTCTGCCATGTGCCGGGTGCTCTGTCTCGAGTTTCAGCTATTTCAGGGCCTTGCACAGCTGACCCGCTGCTAGGACAGTTATTTGGAGCCTGCTGGCTGCCTACAGCTGTGCCTGCTGAGTGCCAGAGAGGAAGGGGAGAAGACATTCTTGGGCTAGGGGGTCTAGTCGCTTCCAGCTGCTCCTAGCTCAGCAACATTTCACATAGGTCCACTTCCTAGCCTGCCTGCCTCCCTCTCTCCTACCCTTTCATTCCTTCTCCTTTAATCTCCACATTGACTGCTTCTGCTGGGATTTTAGTCAGTAATGCCATTCAGAGAGCATTGCCTGGGTGCCCACTGTGACGTCCTACAGACAGCAGGAACAATGTATTTGTGTGGGCGTGGGGTTTGAAGACAGAGCCTTGTACATGCTAGGCATGTGCTTTACCGATGGCCATGCCCCCACCCCAAAATGCTAATATGTGAATTGTCTGGGCAACAGGGACTGTGCCCACTCCTGACCTGCCAGACATTGTCAAGGCAGGCATCTGGCTCCATTCTCTAAGTACACCATCACATGCTTAAGTTGCTTACATAAAGGCCACCAGCTAAGTAGCAGGTAGAACATTGAACACCTGGTCCAGAGTGCTCTGGCGCCCCAGTGACATGGAAACAGTGGCTTATACTGACATATGACCACATGTGCCAGGTACTTTACCACGTGCCCAGTGGGCCTTATTCCATCCTGTCCCTGCAGCATCCTTCCAAGGTGAGCCTCAGAATATGGCTTTATGTAAGTCAGTTACATTCCTCACAGCCCAAGAAAAATGGCCCGGTGAGTTTAAGCCACTTGTCCAAGGTTGAGTCAGGATTTGAACCCAGGCTGATGACTTTAAATTCACTACACTCAATTATGTTCCTGTCAGTAGGCTGCCTACCAGTACATGGACTTTAGTTACAAAAACCAACCGACTGATACCCAAAGAACCTGTAGGTTGTGTTATTTGGAGTAGGATGTACGTGTTTTCGGAGGTGATGGTCATTCTGAGCCTTGAGCTTCTCAAGGCACACCTGGAATGCTGTCTGGTTCTGTTTACTCTCTAAGTGGTGGAAAGGTGTGTCTGCTGTCTTCAGTGTGGAGGGAGAGGTGAACACATGTGTCTTCACTACAGGCTCAGAGCTCAAGAGGTGTGGTGCATTCGATACAGAGATGAAGAATTCAGTTTGAGAGAAACGCAACCCCTCAGAGGACAAAGTCCTTCCTTGCTTATTGAATGGCTTCCTCAATTAGTGTCCACAGCTTTGGCCTGTGCAGCTGTGGTCTATACCACAGCCTGCTCAGCTCCAGGACTCAGACTGTCCCAAGAGGTTGGATTAGCCTGTGTGAGATCTTTCCCATAGGTCGTGGGCAGGCGGGCATCTCAGAACCACTGATCCCTCTTCTTGATTCCCTTCTCTCTCCTCTCAGCTCCCTAGAGTCCCAGTACTGGAATCCTGGAGGGACCAGGAAGCAGGGACTGTTTCTCCAGGGCCCAGGTGCACCCACCCTCTCTCCCTCTCTTGACCTCTTTCCCATTCCCCTCACCTCTGCCTCTGCACAGCCCCAGCCTCCAAGCCATTGCCATCGTTGTCAGAGTCAATTTCCTGGAATAATCGAGTTTTCCAGTTGACTCCCTCCTCCTTGCCAAGGCATTGCTGGGAAATCCCAACCAGCCAGGGCCCAGGAGGCTTTTGGGGCAGCTTAAGACTTAAGGGGAAGGGCAGCACCTAACCTTCCTGAGTCCAGATAACAGCTTCCGGAATAGGGAGGGAGATGGGCTTTAGCGAGTCCTCCACCTTCTTCAGTGGAAGGCCAACTACGGCCTCTATTCTTATTGGCTTAATCTTCCAGGCTTTGATGGAGGACAGGCTCCACAGCCGCCTAGGCACAGGGAGGCTCCTGGGAAGGCATAGGCCAAGCTATGGCTTACAGTGGTGTCAGTCAGATTTGAGGATGCCAGCTCTGCAGAAGGGGTTCCATTTGAAATGAGGGTGGTGCTGGGTGGTGGTGGAGTGCGCCTTTAATCCCAGTTCTTGAGAGGCAGGCAGGTCTCTGTGAGTTTGGGGCCAGCCTGGTCTACAGAGTGAGTTCCAGGATAACCAGAGCTACACAGAGACACCCTGTCTTGAAAAAAAAAAAAACTAAACAAAAAACCCCCAAAACACAAATAAACAAAACCCAAACCAACCAAACAGACTACAACAACGAAGAGCGTGGCATTGGGAGATGGACAGACCTTGCCAATACTGAGTCTACTTACTCAGTGGCTGTCACCCAACACCCCTGTATCTACAGTGGGATGGCCTCCATTGGCTGCTTTAGGGATGGCATTACTCCCAGCATTGTACGTTACAGATCCACAGAGCAGGGGCAAACACAGCATACCCATTAAAAGAATATGGCTGGAAGCAGCTGCTGGCATGAAAGGGAGATGTCTGGGACACAGTGTGTGGAGAAAAAAAAAAGTGGTTGTGAAAGAGAAAATGTGTGCAGCAGGGATTTGAGCCCAAAGTCCATGCCCATGGAAGGGTGTGATACACTTCATGGATGCCCAGAAGTCATCCACAGAATTTAGTGACAGTGTTCTGAGATGGGCCAACATGATCACATTTCCAAAACGGCTTATTACTCACGGAGGCTAAACATTATTGGTGTTTATAGAGTAGAACTCAATTTTTGCATTTAAAAAAAAAACCTGAAATCCATTTAAAAGACTCTGTCATGCCACAGTCCAAATATGGAAAATGCTTTTTCTCTGGGTGGCTGGCTAACAGGCAGAGTGGTGTGTTTCTCTTTGCTGGAGCATATGTCTTCAAAATGAAGTTGTATTAGCTGTCTGGATTAGCGAGATGTTTGAAGCTCAGCAAAGCAAAGCCTTCAAAACTCTGTATTTCCCAGATGAATTTAACTTCCCTTCGAATTAATGACTTTATGACAATGATAACCTCAGAGGGTAAGTACTGCCTTAAATGTCACTGTTTATCCAAAGAGATTGGAGAGAGGGTCCCTTTTGGCCTTCTAGAGTGTCACAGTATCAAAAGTACCGGTGACAAATGGTTATTGTTTGTCTGACAGCCACTCTGAAAGCTGGAGAGATAACTTGGTAAGCAAAACCCACGAGGCTCTGAGTTTGTTGTCTTTTAAAGGCAGGGTGTACTGGTGTGTTTATAATCCCATTGCTGGCGATATCTGGGGCTCCATAGCTAGCCTGCCCACTCTACTTGGCCAGTTCCAGGAGAGAGAGGGGGGGGGAGGGAGAGGGAGGGAGGGAGGGAGGGAGGGAGGGAGAGAGAGAGAGAGAGAGAAAGAGAGAGAGAGAGAGAGAGAGAGAGAGAGAGAGAGAGAGAGGAGAGAGAGGAGATTCCCTAAACAAACATGGACAGGGCCTAATTCTGCCCTCATTCTAGATGTTAAATATAAAATAGGGATTAGAATTTAAGAAACCGTTTTCTTCCGTGGAGGAACTGGGGGTAGAGGAAATCAGCCCGTCTTAGTGGGCACTGTGACACACAGAGTTCGAAGCTCTCAGAAAAATAAGACACCCTCCTAATGTAGTTTAAGAATCAATACACTACAAGTTCTGCGGGGTTACTGAAGACAGTAAGAGAAAGTGTTGCCAACCGGGAAGCATTTAGGTGGCCTTGAAGTTGGTGTCTTCCAGCGGTATGCCTTTGTTTAAAGGGCCAGTGTCCCCTTTGCTTCCCGACTTTGCACCCTAGTGAGCGGTAGCATCTTTGGTAGCACAGTCACCGCTGTGGGAAGGTGACGATCACTCTGTCTCTCGTCCTCCCCGCCTCAGACAGCGAGCTGGTGCTGCCCGACTGCCTGCGGCCGCGCTCCTTCACCGCGCTGCGGCGGCCGTCCCTGCGGTGCGAGGTGGACGAGGCGCGCCTGTCCGTGAGCCTGTGCGACCTCAATGTGCCGGGAACCGACGGCGACGATGGAGCACCGCCCGCCGGCTGCCCGATCCCGCAGAACTCGCTCAACTCGCAACACAGCCGCGCGCTGCCGGCGCAGCTCGAAGGCGACCTGCGCTTCCACGCGCTGCGCGCCGGCTCGCACGTCCGCATCCTGGACGAGCAGACGGTGGCGCGCCTGGAGCACGGGCGGGACGAGCGCGCGCTCGTCTTCACCAGCCGGCCGGTGCGAGTGGCCGAGATCATCTTCATCAAGGTCACGCGCTCGGGCGGCGCCCGAGCCGGTGCGCTGTCCTTCGGGGTCACCACGTGCGACCCTGGCACTCTGCGGCCGGCCGACCTGCCCTTCAGCCCCGAGGCCCTAGTGGACCGCAAGGAGTTCTGGGCGGTGTGCCGCGTGCCCGGGCCTCTGCACAGCGGCGACATCCTGGGCCTGGTGGTCAACGCCGAGGGAGAGCTGCACCTGAGTCACAACGGCGCGACTGCAGGCATGCAGCTCTGTGTGGACGCTTCCCAGCCCCTCTGGATGCTCTTCAGCCTCCATGGCGCCATCACGCAGGTCCGCATCCTTGGTGAGTGCTCATCTCAGTCTCCAGTTCATGGTGGTCTTGTTAGGTGAGTTCTGGGTGGAGAGGAAGCTTCTGGCCAACCGATGGCTGGAGAAGAGATCAACTCACATCCCAACAGACACACAGCCTGACCAGACCCATATGCCTCTGTGTAAAAATCGGGGAAGGGAGTTTCTACCAGCAATGACCTGAGATTTAGTTTCCTCGGGGCTGTTGTTGAGTCTTAGTGAAAATCAGATTGGCTGGTTGTGGTGGTTCATGCTGTAATCCCAGCATTTAGGAAGCAGAGGTAGGAAAATCTCTGTAAGTTCGAGGCTGACTTGAGTTAGCATATTGAGTTTCAGCCCAGCTAGAGATTTTTAGCAAGCTGTCTCAAAAACAGAAAACAGCAACAGAAAAGTTGGTGTCTTCTAGGGCGATGCCTACATCAGAAGAGGAGGATCCCCGAGTAGGTGGCCTTTAGGCATGGGATTACAGCACAGGACACTCTTCAGAAGAGACAGTTTGAAAGGCTTTGGAGGATGTGGCTTGTGTTAAGCCAACTCTCTGGCTTGTTCTGAGAGATAAGTGTCCCTTACTGTGACCAAGTGTGACAAAGAAGGCAACTGAAGGGAAGATGGGTCTGATTTGATGCGTGGCTGGAGGGAACAGTCCATCATAGTTATTGCGGTAAATAAGGATCAGGATAAACAAATAGGCCGAATAGATGTTTATTCAGGGAGAAATAACTTACAACCTAGACAGATGAACACCAGGAAATTCAACCCGATCCTCTCCTGTCCAGAAAGAGAGAGCGCCTTCCTGGCCCCCTCCGACCTCCTTCCTCAGGTCACCTCCGCCCATCGCTCCACCCCCCAATGGGCGTGGTCAGTGCTACAGAAGGACTACCTCACTACAATTCCCCTTTTAGTCTAAAGAAAAGATTTAGGCTTAATACAAAACTATATACAAAACAGTGAATAACAAGTGTGCTCTAAGAAAAGGAAAATCGAGAACAAAATGACCTACATATCTAGTCCTAGGGTGAGGGCATAATGGAGTTTACAATAGAGTTGTCCTAAGCTGGAAAACGTAAGTCTAGTACCTAATATATCTAACTAGGAAGAGAGAATAATAGTTGTGATAGTTTAATTTTCAATCTCATCAAGACCTGAGAAGGAAATTAACAATACTAGAGTAGACAGGAAATGCGGATGGACAACTTCCAAAAGGTGCAGCAAGGACAGAAACAGCAAGCCACCTGGACAGTCACCCTAGGTCTCACAGCGATGTTGGTACACCCAGATTTGGCTAAGGCCAAGAGAACTTGACAGACCACAACAACAGCAGGGAAATAGAATGGCTGTCTTACCCTGACTTGGCAAGGTCAAGCAGTCTTCTATATTTGTCTCCTGCAAGCACATAGGACTGCATGTCCAAATCAGTGGTCAAGGTGGGGGCAATTCTATGCCCAACAGGCCATTAGCTGAGGCAAGAATGAACTCCAGCAGGAGCAACAACAGTGTCCAACACATAGTGAGGGAGGAATGGCGGGAATCCATCTCCATCTGCTGTCAGAGAGGTGGGTGCCAGCATTCAGCCCATTCTCGTTATGGGAAGCCAGCCCTCTGGGTGGCGTCAGCCACGCTCAGGGTGTGTTTACCTGCTGGGCATCTCCCACTGGCTTCACTGTAAAATGCAGCTCTTTGAACTCTGCCTCCAGGGATCCTATTTCTGGAGCTGTAGGACAGATTCTGATTTTGTTGTTGTTTTTTGAGACAGGATCTCTACATAACCCTGGCTGTCCTATAGATCAGGTTGGCTTTAAACTCACAGAGATCCAACTCTGCCTCCAGAGTGTCGGGATTAAAGGTGTGCACCACCATGCCCAGCTAGTTTATGTTTTTGTTTAATGTATCTTTAGCCAAGGTTGGCGAGCTCTGAGCCTCTCAACCCCATGGTAGGGTGTGCAGATGAGCGAGCCTCAACTGCTTTCTGAGCTCTGCCTTCTGTGAGGGGCTGTTAGCCCAGGGCTTGTGTTTATGTGTGTGGTGCTATTGAGATTGTTGAGTGAAGAGCTTGTGAAATGAGATTTAAAAAAAATCAGTGCAGACTTCCAGCTCTGCAGAGACCAGATGAAGGGATGCTGAGAAACAACTAGAAAAGCTACACAAAGACAGAAGGCTGGCTGGAGTACTGAGGAGTTAGAAATGAAGAAGGATAAATCAGGAAGGGAGGAGATGAAATCGAATCAAACAGGAAGGAAGATGAATCAGTCCAGGGTGAGAATTCATTCATTAAAATGAAATTGGATTGGGAAGCGCGTGCGCACCCCCCCCCCCACAATCTGGGCTGAGGTGAGAGATAACTGGCTCCACTAACTGCTTCTCAGAGAAAGGAAGGTGTGGGATATATTGTTTATGATTTAATAAAGCTTGCCTGGGGATCAGAATGCAAAGCAGCCACACTAGTCAGCCATAGATGTCGGGCAATGGTGGCACACACCTTTAATCTCAGGACTCAGGAGACAGAGGCAGATGGATCCTTGTGAGTCCAAGACCACCCTGCGCTACACGAGTGAATCAAAGAGGAACAGAGCCCACACCTTTAATCCCAGCACTAGGGAGGCATACAAGGAAGAAGCAAAGGGTCTCATGGGAGATTCAGTTTCCAGTCACAGGGAAGACAGGACCTCTATTTCAGCCTTGGTAAGAGCTACTGGCTGGCTGCTTTGCTTTTTTTTGATCTTCATCTTGAACCCCAATATCTGTCCCTGGGTTTTATTAATCATACTACAGGAAAGCACACAGAGGCAAGGTCCACTCTTGCATCAGCATCACCTAATAACAGCTAAGTAGCTTTCCAGCAAGGCTCTGTCATCCAAAGGGGTTTATGAGACTGGAGGAAAAGGGAGTTAAGACAGAACACAGGACCTTTTCTGTCCCAGATAGTAAGTGCGTCGAGGTGAATGCCAGGAAATGCCACCCAAAATCCAATGTCTATTAATAGTTCCTGAGCTGTTTGGAGAATTGGGCATGTCAGCCAGCAAAGTGGTGCTGGGCAATCCTGACTGACTCCAAAGGAAAAGCAAAGCCGGTAGCCAGGTTTGAAGATGCATCGTTCCCCTTACAATAAGCTGATAAATCGGGGATGTTTCCTTTATCCACATGCACACAACCTGCAGCTTTCTTTATGTTCACTGGTTGGTCAGAAATATATTCACTAAAGACAACTATATTATCAGGGTTGCTTCCTAGACATTGTTCTGAAAATGCTAGCCAATGCAGTAGGGCAAGAGAAGTAAATAGGTATGCATTTCTGAAAAGAGATGATACTTTAAAATGTTAATGTAGTAAGAGAAACTGTATGAGCTGGGCCTCTGACCCCAGCTATTTGAGAGAGGTTCAAGATTTGCCTGGGCTGCAAAGCAAGTTCAAGGCCAGCCTAGGCCACTTAGTGAGAGCCTATCTTTAAATAAAAATAAGGGCATTGGGACATTGGTCAGTGATAGGATGCTTTCCTAACATGAGTGAAACCCTAGATTCAGTCTCTAGTGTGGAGGAGAGCGGAAAGAGACCCACCCTATGAACATTCAGTCTTAGAAATAATAGCACTGTTAAGTTAGTTACAGCTAACAGTGCACCTGCTATGCGCAGAACATTCTTTTGGGGCCGTGGGAAATCACAGGCAGTGAGGCTTCTTGTTCTCAGCAAGCTCACGGTTCTGCATGGAGTTGGATTCTCAGGCCAAAAAAGACAGGACTTCAGGCTGTGTGGCTAAGTATGGCTAGTCAGTGACCATGAAGTTGTGTTTAGGGAAGCCATGGCGGCCCAGGGATGGAGGTTTGAGGACAGCCTCAAGAGGCTCCCTAAGGCTGTCACCAGTCACATCTGTGCATCTGGGAGGGACTTTAGAAGGATGGCAGGGAGGGAAGGAAGGTCGTAGGACCAGAATATGGGGACCAGGGTGCCAGTGTAGAGAGAATGGGTGGTCCCTAGGGGCTGTGGTACAGAGGGCAGGGCTCTGACAGGAGACAGGAGTAAGAGGCAGGGACAGGGACTTTATTCCCTGAAGGCCAAAGGTACCTCGGATGAGTGGAAGGACAAACAAACTAGGCAGAATCTGGAGGGGAAATTGTGGGTGCGGTCTGCCACCCCCAGATCTGTAGTTGAGACAGAGCAAGAGTGGGGGCTGAGCCAGCGTATGGGGTCCCGCCCGAGCCTGCGGCTGCCCTCTGTGGGGTGGGGGCCCTCTGTGGGGTGGGACTGAAGCTCTCTCCGTTATGCTGATGGTACTGTGGCCCATCCCCCCCCCTCAGGCTCCACCATCATGGCTGAACGGGGTGGTCCATCTACCCCCTGCTCATCTGCCTCCACCCCAACCTCACCCAGTGCCCTGGACAGCCGCCTCTCTGACCCCCTGCCCAGCACCTGCAGTTCTGGGCCTCTGGGTGGCTCTGCTGGTGGTGAGTACCAAGGTCCTGTGGTTGGGTCAACACTTCCCCCTCTACATATTCTTCAGGGAGGGAGAATGCAGCCTTTGTTAGGGTTGGGGCTGGCAGCTCTCAGCAGGGGACTTTTATTCTTTAAAGAGTTATTTTTAATGATCTTTTATTTTGAGTGTGTGTGTGCATGCATGAATGCGTGCAGTGCCTGTTGAGGCTAGAAGATGTCCTGGATGCCCCCGGAACTGGAGTTACAGGCAGCAGACAGTTGTGAGCGAACTGATGAGGGTCCGGAGAATCAAACTCCGGTCCTCTGGAAGAGCAGCAAGCCCTCTTAACTCTTCACTCATCTCTTCAGATGTCTTGGTTAGGGTTTCTGTTGCTGTGAAGAGACACCAGGCCCATGGCGACTCTTATAAAAGAAAGCATTTAATTGAGGGGGCTTACAGTGTCAAAGGTGTAGTCCATTATCGCCATGGTGGGCATGGCAGCGGCAGGCAGACATGGTGCTGGAGAAGGAGCTGAGAGCCCGACCCACAGCAGAAGGAAAAACTGTCACACTGGCCGGGCTTGAGACACACTTCCTCCAACAAGGCCACACCTCCTACCAATGCCACTCCCTATGGGCCAAGCACACGAGGCTGTGGGGGCCACACCCGTTCCAACCACCACAGACTTGTAGCTGTGGCTTTTTTAAAAAATCTTTTTTTAAAGATTTATTTTAAAGTGTGTGTGTGTGTGTGTGTGTGTGTGTGTGTGTGTGTGTGTGTGTAGTGGTGGGCTGTGTGGATATGTGAGTATAGGAGCCATGGAGCCCAGAAGCGTGTATCTGGTCCTCCAGGGGACCCTGAAAATGCACATTGGACACCAAGGGTTAGTGCAGGAGGGTCATGCCTTAAAAGACCTGGGAGGTTTGCTTTTTCCTGCCAGTCACCGGCACTCTGGTCCTGGTCTGGAGCTGTGTGGTTGGAGCTCAGCTTCTTCCTTGGGCAGGAAGGGTGGGTTGTCAGTATGAACAGGTGGCTTTCCATCCTGGAGGAAGGACTTGAGCCCTGCAGCCTTTTTCTCATAGGCCCCGAGCTGGCTGGGTCATATCCCATTTTGATTGGTGCTTTTGCTCTCAGGGACAGCCCCCAACTCGCCCGTGAGCCTGCCCGAGTCACCAGTGACCCCAGGTATGGGCCAGTGGAGCGATGAGTGCACCATTTGCTATGAACATGCAGTGGACACCGTCATCTACACGTGTGGCCACATGTGCCTCTGCTATTCCTGTGGCCTGCGCCTCAAGAAGGCCCTGCACGCCTGCTGCCCCATCTGCCGCCGCCCCATCAAGGACATCATCAAGACTTACCGCAGCTCCTAGCCCTGCAGAACCCACCTGCACCCCACGTCCGCAGATCAGCCCAGACCAGCTAAGGGTGAAGCCAGCAGGGCCCCTTTCTGCCACATTTTGAAAAGTCCTCCTTTTCCATTAAACATGGGAAACCAAGGTCCCTGAAGGTTTGGGCTGAGAGGGTCTGAGGCCTGGGGCACAGGTAGTACCTAATGAGCGGAGGGGAGGGGAGGGGAGAAGGCTACCCCATATTCTCCCTCTCTACCCAGATTCCATCACGGTGAGGGGCTGACGCGGGGTCTCGGCCTGTTACCATCCCTCACGATGTAGGCAGACTTCTAGGCTGTGCAGCCCGTGTGGTGCCTTGGAGAGAGCGAACATGTAGCCTTCCCTGGGCAGCTCGGGAGGAGGCAGTGGACCCCTCCCACCCTGGGCAGCTGCAAGCTGCATGCCCTGTCTCTTTCTCCTTACCCAGAGTGGGTAAACAGACAGGCTGCACACGAGTCCAGGGCCTAGGTCCTTGACCTTGGGCCCACCTGCCATGTTCAGGACCTCTCCTTGCCGTAACTCACACCAATCACCTCGCTGGTGCCGTTGCCTAGGGTGCCCTTCAGAATAGGCTAAAGTGGCCTACTCTGTTGTCAGGGTCCCAAAGAGCAGGCCCACGGCCACCCCTGAGGCCTGTCCTCCCTCATCTCAGTGCCAGCCTTGGCCTGGGCAGATCCTGCCATGTGTGCCCAGGAGGGGCAGGGGCCCTCAGCGGAGTGGGGGTCCCCTAGGCTATGGACAGCCCTTTTCCTCATTTTAATTTATTTATTTATTTGGTTTGTGAGTTTTGTTTGTGGGTTAGTTCCAACCTAGGGGCTCCTAAAATTCTACTGTTGGGGGATTGATTGCCAGGTGAGGGGCAATAGAGTGGCCGCTCAGAATCTCCCCCCCCCCCACTCAGAAGCCGCACACAAGGCTCCCCGAGGAGGAATTCTAGGCTGGAGGCGTCCCGAGAGGCGGACAAGCCTCTCCTGGATAGGGAACCACTGACATCCACCTGTGCCCTCCCTCCCTGGGTGGGAGCTGAGTTTGTGTGGTTGGTTCAAAGTCATCTGTACTCCAGGAGCCACCTCTGTAAAGACAGCAAAAGTTCTGCAAGGTTGGGGAAAGTTATCGACACGTGGGCCAGGGACCAGAATGGAGAGCTGGTTAGAAGGAGGATGGATCCTGAAGGCAGGCTCCTGGTCCTGCTAAGGGAGTGTCCATCACTCTTGGGCTATTGCCCCTGCAGCCCTCTCTGCCTGTGCTGGGTTACTGTGGAGTCTTAGCCTAGGCTCTCCCAGCCCCTCAGCCTTCGGCCCTCAGATGGCGGGCTTTATACCCTCAGAGACGGCTTCTGCCGTCACAGACAGTGCCTGGGGCTCTGTCCTGGCCACTGACTAGTCCTATGGCCCTGGCCAGGGGTCACCCTCCAAGCCTCAGCCTCCCCTGTGTAAAGTGGATTGCGGGTAGAATACTCTCAATGTGGTTCCCAGGAGTTCTTTTGGGGTGTCTCTTAGGGGGTTACTGGGGAGACATTGAGAATGGGGTGCCAGGGTGGGTGCTTGTCTGCACTGGCCTTGCAGGGACCCAGGGAATCTGTGCCACCCTGGCTCTCGCCTCTTCAGTCACTGGACCCCGTAGAGCCTTTCTGTGAGAGCAGGCTGGAGCTGGTAAGTTGCCCCATCCGATTGGGGGCTCATCCTAGAGATGGAGAAAGTCTGAGCACAGAGCTGTGTGGCCGGAGGTGGGAAAAGAAGCCACCATCCATTCTGCTAACAGGGAGGTGGTTCTGCCTCCTTCATGAACTGGGTCACTGTGTTTGTGAATAAAGGTGATTTCGTACCAGCCTGAGAGCTGTGCTGTGTGTCTGGAGGTTGGGAGGGAGACCAGTGTGTGTGAACGCACCTGAGTGGTTAGGGGCTGTCAGAACTGTAGACCCTCGAGCCCCAAAGGGCCTATGGCAGAGAAGCCTTCTTAGAGTCAGGCCTTGGAGCACAGCATGGGATTCAGACAGTGGGGCAAGCTTTTAAGTTGAGAGAAGCTGCTGCCCTTCTGGTGGCCTGGGAAACTCTGAGTAGGGAAAACAGGGTTAGGTAGGACTCTAAAAGAAGCCACAGGCATGCTGTGCGGTTTCCTCTCAGGCCCGAGATCCCGTGAGGTGTTTGCCACCTAGAGACTAACAGGGGAATGGCAGGTCAATCCTGTGGCTGGGGTGGGGAAGAGGTGGGTAGACTGGGCGGGGGGGGGGGGGGGGGGGGGTGTCTGGACAGTGTTTGAGCTGTGCACATCGACAGGGCCAGGCCCCAGAGACTTGTGGGATACCTGTCTACACCCTCTCCTGGACGAGGCTCTCACCACATAGTCTAGCCTGCCTTTGAACTGACCTCAGATTCTTTTTCCCCTGCTTACTGGAGACCAACACAACTAGGTAAGGACGAGGGTCCAGCTTGGGTTATTCCCAGAAAGGTGCCTGCAGGTGGGAAGGGGCTGGAGGAGCTTGTGGGAGCTGACCTCCCCTCCCTGATTCTGTAGTCAGCTGCTGTTTGTGCTGCTGGGACTTTTGCTGGTAAACTGAAAATGAGTCCTCTGGTACTAGAGAGAATCACCCGATTCTTTTCGGTTAAAAAGGCCAAAAACTTTATTTAGTTTTTAGGGAAATACAAGATGCATGTAAACATGAACAAAATATTAAACAAAACAACCCAAATTTTAAAGTCTAGAAGCATCCCAAGACAGGTCATTCCGATAGACCAAAGAATCCCTTCAAAGTGGTAAAGGACACCTGGAAAGTGGCAGGTCAGGGGGGCTGCGTCCCTCCCCCAAGGACACTGCGTGTTTGGGATGAGACTTATAAAAACAACCCACCATTAGAATCGTGAGAAACATGGAGATAGTTTAGCACCACCAAGGATCCTGGAGATATGTCAGCACTTGCGTGGACCCTGACTGCACCAATGGCCTTGTCTGTTTCTCTGCTGAGCTGGAAGGACCAGGGGAAAGGGCTTCTGTTGACCCCACTAAGCTGGCTGGGGATGAGTGGACACCACAAGAAGTCCCTGTGATTCAGTGTCCCACCCAATGACATCCATCTACTTGCTCCCACCAGAGTCCACATATCCATGCTGCAAGAGTGGCCACTCACATCTGCCTTACAAGTCACCTTCCAGACCTCTCAGTTAACTGTGGGGACACCCATGTCCTCTGTTGCAGGGGACGTGTAAATTTAAGAATGGTATCTGTGTACCCTTTGAAGTAGACTCAGTGTGCCTCAGTAGAAGCCACTAGAAAACAAAAAGCATGTTCAGGGATGTTGGTGTGTTCCGCCTGGTCTGACGGCAGCAGGAGGCTAACTCACCTAGAGCCTTGGGAATGATGTCCTCTGTCACTAAGGAATGAGGCCACCCTGGCTAGGCCTGAGCTCTTAAGTTCTAGTATGGGGATGTTGGGCCCTACTGTGTGGCCTATTATGGCCAATGGCCTCTGATTTGTACAAATGACAGACTGGCTAGCTCTGTAATAGACAAAATGCATTGGGCAAAAACTATCTGGAATCTGGGAGATGCTTTAGGTATTTCCGGAAAAGGACCTCCAAACCCAAACACTGGCTTCCAGCTTCCAGTGCCTTTCCCCCAAGACAACATGGGAAATGGAAGGCCGGCCGGGGCCCAGTGACTGAGTTTTCTCTGGCCGGACTCTTGGCTGGTGAGTAACAAAAATCCCTGTAAACCTGGGCACTGACTCCTTCCACCAATAAAGACAGCACAACTCCAAACCCTCCTTCAGCCTTCCCACACCTTCTCTGCCTAACAGACATCTCCTGGGAGACCCCTCCCAGTGCAGGGACCGTAAGCCCCAGTAACCTCCAACTTACATATTCACCCTGCCAACATGCCTCCCACTGGCTTGCCAACATGCTAGATACATCCTTTTGCACTAACACAAGCCCCTCACGCTCCCAAGGACACAGCCCATTGTCCAGAATGAGATTTTCAGCCCCAGGGACCCCACTCTGAGGCCACTAAGTCCTAGACTGCAATGGGGGGAGGGGTCCTAACTGTCAGGGTCACTTGAGATTTAGACAGGATAGAAGAGGGAATGTCACATGCCAATCCCTTGCAGCCAGGTTGGGATCAAGGCTTTGGAAAGGAAGCCCTTCTATTCACCCTACAAGCGTCCGTGTAGGCCTGGGGGCCCAGGCGACAGAGCAGAGCAGCAGTCAAAAGTAGTGCCAAGGCTGCCGTCGCACACCTCGTCCTATCTCTGGCTCGGTTTGGGAGACACAGGAACTTGAGACTGTCCCCAGTGGGATTTACACAAACTCAGGTGGTCCTGAGGGGCCCTCCACACTCCCGGGAAGCACTGTGTGGACACCTGCAGGTCCTCCTACGGGTCACACCGTGAGTAGTCCTCCCCCTGCCCAGACTGCCTCTCGCTCAGAACCAAACCCAAGGCCAGTAGCTCTTGGATGGCCTGGGGATTGTCACACTAAGAACACAGGTGCGCTATTCATAACCACTTCAGCCTTTCCATTCCCAACGGTATCTGTTCCAGACCTTCATCTTGGCGCCCGGATGCTGACCTGGGCTGCTTCTGTTAGATATGCTAATGCCAGTGTGAAGTTTTCAACTAAATAATAAAATAATTACAAAAACAAATTTAAAAGACACATTGCACTCTCCAGCCAGAACCGTGTGAATGACACACATACTTGCTGCCAGAAGCTGTTGAGTCCCTTGGGACCTGCCCAAAGCCAAGGACTAGTTCAATGGAGACCACCTGCCCTGCATTAATTTCCTCTAACCCCGTGCTATTTAGTTCAAGTGGGAAATTACCACCAGTCTCTCTCACACACTCATGTAATATTCACACACTTGGAAATTTCCACCCTTTCTTCTCTCTCTCTCTCTCTCTCTCTCTCTCTCTCTCTCTCTCTCTCGCACGCGCACACACACACACACGCACGCACACACTGCTCTCTTAGCCCTCAAAAAAAATGAGGGAATCTTAATCGGTTAGTGATGTGGACTGCTGTCTTTCCAGAGAGCTGCACAGATAGTCAATGATGAGCTATGCAGCCATTGTCTATTCTAAGAGAGAGACCCTAGAAGGGGCCTGGTCCCTCTCCCTCTCTGTATAGATATTCACACAAGGGTGGGTTGGAGCAGCAGGCCTACAGTACTACATTGAAGGGACACACCAGCAAGGCTGTGCTTGCCATCCTGGGGGGCCAAGCTCCAGGACTTGCTCCTAACTCCCCAGAAGACATCTTGTCCTGCCACTTTTCCTGCTGCATGCGAAAGGAGGCAGGTGTGTACCTGTCATGGGGGTTTCTGTTGTCAGAAGCAGGGCTCATGCCTTTTGCCCAAGTCACTGAGATGAATGGGTGGCCGGGATTCAACCCCCAGGCCTACTGTAGGCCTGTAGGAACTGGGTCTTACTGGGTATGAAGGGCTTAAAGCACCTACCCTCCAAATTAGTTTGCTTACAGCCAGGATTCCTGTCCTTAGCTGAACTGAGGTTCCATAGTTTTAGAAAGACTCAAACACACATCCAAAGCATCGTAGCCCACACATCAGGAGGCTGGGGTGAGAGGGCTTCTGGGAATCGCTTCTAGGTCGGGCCTCTGCGCAGCTGGCGGCAAAGGGGGAATGGAAACAGGTGGGTCTTGCATATCCTCATTCTGCCCTGGGCACTGGGCTCAAGAGGTCAAGAGCACCATTCCAGTTCCCCAGACCCCTTCCTTCCAGTGGGCTGTCCTCTGGTGGCCACCCCTTTTCTTCATGCCAGAGGATGGGGGGATGGGGAGATAGACTGTCAGCCTGCCCGGAGAGCAAAGCCAGGGCCCACCCGCGTGCTCCGCAGTACCAACTCCTCCCAGTAGCCTCTCCCGTTTTCTGCAGATTCAACAGGGTCTCCCGCCACTCTGTCCCACACCCCTCTCGGTAATATTGCACTTTTTCTGTCTCAGATTGCTTTCATTTTTCCATTGAGAATGCAAAGTACTTGGAGGGAATAGGGAAGTGAGTAACCTTAAAGAAAGTATATATTAGTCAAATCCAGGAAAAGCAGGAGTGATTTCACCTGCCCCCCCTAAAAACAGAACACTACAACTTAAATAGCTCTACGCCTACTCTGCAAGTACTAGTCATATGAAAATAATGTTTGGTTGAAATTCCCTTGTCTTTCTTCCTTAGACAATAAAAGTAGTAACATGCCTTGCTGAGGAAAGCGATGGATATAAATGCCAGTAAAATACGCCGCTCTAATATCTCAACGTGACTACAATGATTCTATATAATGCCTTCGTCCATTTAGGAGTGAGAAACAGGAACCCTTGGGGCCAGGCAAGGGGTGGAAGGGTTGAGGCCCTGCAGATAGAACCTGGGCTGTGAAGGGAGCCAAGGCAGAAAGGAACCGGCTGCCGATGGAAACTCCGGCCCCAGCTCCCTCTGTGTGAACGCAGAGGAGCCAGGCAGTGGAGCCAGGCCTACAAGCAACAAAGAAGGAGAAGGTTGAAAACGTCCCTCCACCTTTGTAAAAGAAGGGTCTTTAAACTGAAAGGAAACAAAGCACCGAACGATGCATCTTCGGGCATTATATAAACCGCAATAATGACCTCAGAAGGGCTCATTATGATTAAAGTTGCAGTATACAGCAATACAATGTCATTTCACATTTTCAATCATCACTAATGGAAAACTAGGTTTGGACATTGCTGAGATTCCATTTTTTTTTTTCCTTTAGTCCGATCTGGTTTTCCTCCAGATGGGTCAGAGCCCCAGGCCCTTCCCTCCTCCACGGCTGCCATAGTCTGTCCAAAGTCACAAAGCAGCTCTTTAGCTCTAGGGAAAGGCCCTCTTGCCCGGGCAGGGCTAGGATCCAGGGACACAAGGCCCGGTATCCCCTGGCCATGTCGGAGAAGGCCTGGCATGCACCCTTCTTGTTTCAAGTATTCTTTGGGCTTGCAGGGTTTGTGCTGTGCCCTACTGGGTTGGTGGTGAGGGACCTTGGCTATCACTCACTATTTGTTGACCAAGTCTACATACTGACACTAGGTGGCAACATTCCCCACTTTTCCCAGATGCCTGAGCAACTCCCAGCCATCCCTGGGGCTGGATGTTAATATGTAAACACAATGACCACACAATAAACTAAAGGGACCGGAGAGGAAGGCAGGGTTAAACGCCGTGGGGAAACCTGACATTAACTGGGAGATTTGGAGAAAGTCATTTCCTGACCTTGGGCTGAAGTAGCCGGAAGGGATGGAATGGAGTGACCGCTAAGGTCCCTTCCAGTCCTGCTTTTAGAGTCTAGGATTTCAGGACACTGGGAATTGGGAGAGGGTCTTTGGGGTGCAGGCAGAGGGTGTGAGTGAGGAGTCGGGCAGGGCAGGGCAGGGAAGGCGGGAAAGGCAGGCTCTGGGGATCTCGGTGGCCCAGTCCGACTGAGATGCTCTGTGTCTGGCTGGCCCGCGAATCATGGAGCCGGCTCAATGCAGATATCTGAAGAGTATGGCTGTGGGCCACGCCCCTGGCAGGCAGCTGTGTGGAAGGTCCTTTCACCTGACAGTCACTCTACTTTTAAATTTTATTTTAAATAGTCATAAATTACTTTTTCTTTTTTAATAAATACGTGCTGTTTTAAAATGAGAATAGTATATACTGCATCTTTAAGAAATGCACTTTGCTCTCCGGGTTTTCTTTCCGTTTCACCTTATTTAAAGTGCATTAATTAAGAAATAATGAACCACTTCTTTATCATTATTGTTCAAATAAGTACAAATAATATCATGAAGACACTAAACCGCTACCATTAGTACTGCAACCTAGCAGATTAACTCAACATCCCGCTCTATTTAATACTGTCCAGCAGAAGAAAATAACTGATTTCAATTTTACACAAACTCATGAACACAGAAAAGGAAAGAGAACAATGTCACCACGGGCTTTTGACAAAGGAGGCTGGCGGTTTGCATCCGCACGTGTGGGAGGGACATGGGCTTGGGAATCCAGGAGGTTAGGGCTGGGAGCTGAAGGCAGACCTGCCTGGGAGAAGGAGCTCCTCCTCCCAAGTCTGTCAGAACCATAGGCCCTGGGGGGTGGGGAGGGGAGATGCTGGCTGCTCAGCCAGAGACTGTGAGGCAGGATCTGTCCCAAATCAAAGGCACATGTGGAATCCACTCCCAGCATGAGGGGAGTCCTTGGAGGGAGCCTACTGGGCTTCTCTCTGGAGGGTCCCCTCTGAAATGTCAATCATTTCATCACAACCCCAAACTCAGAGGATGGTAGAGAACTCCATTCTTTTGATTCTGACCCCTGGGGCACTGCCCCTTGGGAAGACAGGGTTGGTTCCTGGCTTCAAAGTCCTCCATCTTCTTGGGTACCTGCAGCATTGCCAGCAGGCTAAGGGGCACAGTATGTTTGTGCGTGGGGGTATCTGCTCCAGGCTGACCCAGCCAGGGTACCTTCTGCCCAGGGTTCGGGGTGACTTCTCCACAGTAAGGCTTTCTTTGGGCACTGCCCAGATTGGGGGACGTGGGCAGAAGCAGGCAGAGCATGGCTCCCATCAGCATGGCTTCAAATGATGCCCCCTCCCTCTTGGGCAGGGACCTGAACACTGTTTCACCGAGCCCAGGACCTGGCTTTACCCGGTCCCAAATTCCCTGGTCAGATGTCATGCTAGGCACTGTTCACACAGTGCAAAAACAAACAAACAACTGGGCTTATGGAAAGGCAAAAACATACCAAAATCTAAATAAAACATCCCTCCATGGAATTCAACAGAAACCCCACCCCCCACTACTCCCTCTCCTAAGTGAGGCTGAGCCCTTCAGGTCCCCAAACAACTTCTAAAATAAACCCCAAACCAAACACCTGATTTATAACCTCCAAACCAATAACCCCTTCCCAAACATGCACAAGGAGCTACCTACCCAGGAAAGCCTCTAGCAATTCTAGATTAGTAGGAGCCTGGCACCACCCATCCTCTAGGTCAACTCCTAGTATCCTCCATGTGCCCTGAGGAGGGCAGGCTCTCTTTGCAAGGCCAGGCCAGCACAGCAAAGGCAGGCAGCCCTTGTGGGCATCTGGGAACTCTTAACTACCAAACAGGCTGTGGCCTGGCCCCAGAAAGGGCCGAGCCCTTAGAAGACACCGCCAAGCCGCAGAGCTGGTGGTCTACACCCACCAGTGGTCCGTAGTGGACGAGAAACTAATCCAATACCAAAAACATCATTAGGGTAACACAAGGGTGACTTCCAGAGGCAAGAAGCCAGCCACGGAAGTGGCTGAGCAGGGGCAGGACCCTGGACACACCTCGTGACATCTTTTCCAGATCTGCAGCAAAGGCACGACTGGGCTTTCCCACATGGCCTATATGAAATGGCATATGGCCCACCAACAAAGTCACCAGTGTGTGTGCAGGGGTTCCGGGCCCAGGAGAGCCCTGCTATTCCCTTTCTCCTACTAAGTGCGTGCACCCATCACACCCTCCCTTCCAGCTGGAGGGTGACTTTGGGGGGATCACATATTCTTGCAGGGTTCAATGTTGACATCTCCCTCCCCCCTCCCATTGTCTTTCCCCTTGTCTGCATGCCACCATCCATCCAACGGCAGCCAAAGCAGCACACTGAGTCTGGAAGGACCCGGTGCTGTTAGTTCTTCTTCTCAAGGTAGTTGGAGGGTACCCAGCCCTTGAAGGGCTTCACCTCATCCAGGATCTGACAGTACCACCAGCCATTGGGATTCCTCTCCAGCACCTCCATGGACACCCCCTCTTGGAAGCCAGCTGTCTCCTCATCCCCCTCATAGTCTGCAATAGAGATGTACACATCTTTGAGGTCATTGTGGATGAACTGAGACTTCTCAATGGGCTTAGGACGCACGGGGGAGACGGGGATGCCGTTGCGCTGGGTAGGCAGCAGGGGTGATTCTGAGCCCTGGCTGGCAGCCCGCTCTGCCAAGCGGCCCTTGGCCTCCGCGGCTGCTGAGCGTGCAGTACTAAAGGAGGAGTTTCTGCGCACACCTCTAAGGCTGTCAGTGGCCGTCAGTGACTCATTCCTCCGCAGGGCACAGGACACGTTGTTGTCCTTGGGTGGTGGAGACACAAACACAGACTGAGGCCTGACTGCCACCTGCCGCACACCGTTCCTCATCTTCACCGCCACAGTGGCCGAGGTCTTGCCGAAACCCCCCGGAGGCTTCGAGGGGATGGGTGGGGTGACCCTCTTGCTCTGGTTCACAGTGTTCAACGCTTGAACCCGCTTCTCGATCTTTTCCAGACTGTCCGACTTGCCCTCATTCTGGGCGCTTTTTACTGTGTCTGGCTCTTTGCCAGCAGCATCAGATTGCTGGTTCTCCTCCGGCACCAAATAGTGGGAAGGGGCCCATCCCTCCAGCTCCCCGAATCTCACATACCACCATCCGCTTTCCGCCTTTTCCAGCACGTGCACCTCAGCGCCCGCAGGGAAGCTGATCTCGGAGTCCTGGACCTTCTGATAGGCGCTGCATGTCACATAAACAGTGCCCTGCCCTTCCCATCCCTTCCTGGGAGCACATGGGGGAGTGGTGGCCGGGAGGGCAGTGATGTCAGCAGAGCCTCTCCTGGACCCCTCAGAGGCCGTCTGGGGAGGCAGCTCTGAGTCCTCACTCCTAGAGCCCTTGAGGCCTCCCCGCAGCTGGCCTGTGGGCCTCAGCTGGCGCCGTAAGGAGCGAATGTCCATCTTTTCTTGGCTTTGAGACTCGGCTCGGTTCAGGACTGGCTTTGGTCGGACCGATGGCTTGGCTCGAGCACAGGAGGCCAGCCCAGCTTTCACATCGGCCTCTTTCTTGGTCCCGACCTTGGGGGTACCACGGATGCCTGCATCTGAGGCAGAGCGCGGCTTCGTGTCACCACTGCTCTTGGACAAGGAGGAAGAGGAGGAGGAGGAGGAGGAACAGGTGGTGTTGATGGCGATGGAGGACGAGAAGGAGACATTGGACTGGTTTTTCCCCAGCTCTGCCTGGGCATTCTTCTCTGCCTTGAGCTTTAGGAGTGATGATGATTTGGGAGACCCTGATTTGGGGGAATTTTTCATGGCAAGAGACAGCGAGGAGTTCCCAGGAGAGTCGCTATCCCCAGAGGAGCCTCTGACAGACAATGCATCTTCCATGTAAGGCCTGAAGCCCTCATTCTCATAGATAGTCTCCTCTTCAAGGGCCACATCCTCAGAAGATTCGCCCACCTTGAAGCGGGCCCGCTGCAGGGAGGAGGCGGGTGAGGGCCTTCGGGGCTGGGCAGGCCGCCTGTCACCTGAGCCCCTGTCCTCTGTGGGCTCCTCACTCAGCTCAGGCTCTGAGTCAGAGCCAAAGGCAGGGATGTCATACTCAGGTTCCTCATACTTAAGCTTCAGCGGGGAGTCCTGGCTCTCACAGGCACCCACAGGATTCTCCTCGGCCTCCTTAGGCTTGCTGGGGGGTGCCGGTGGGGGCACCTTGGGCCGGGTCAAAGTGCTGGTTCTGCGGCTCAGGTTGGGCTTCTTGCGCTTATCAATGTATGAGGCAGGAGCCCAGCCTTCCTTCTCCCCAATCTGCACATACCACCAGCCACCTGAGTTCTTATCGATGACCTGAGGGAAGAGGGTCAGGCTAGTGAGTGGCAGGGGTCTCTGGGTCTCCACAATGTCCCACTCGCCCTATTTTATGGACAGAGCCCTTGAATAAGTGGTTCTGAGACCTACAGCAGTCAGTGGCAGGCTAGATAAGTCTGTGCCAGAAACTCCAGGACACTCCCAAATCTCCCATTATTCCTAGGCCCTATAAAATCCAGCTTTAGAAGGACCCATATGTACAAAGAACCAGTGTTTCATTGTTCCTGTCCTCCACCCATGCCCAGTGCCTTTGAAAGGGTCTCTCCGGTGAGGCATAAGTCAGGCCTGAGGTCAGCTCCTCCCTGCAGAACTTCTTCCCAGTGTCCACAAAAAGCTCAACAAAATCTCGTTAGGACTTCTTGGGTCAGTACACAATATCGTCCTCTGATCTCTGTGTGTGTGCGTGCATGCTTGTGTCCGTCCGTCCGTCCGTCCGTCCATCCATCCATTCATCCATCCATTCATCCATCCATCCTCCCCAATAAAGCATTTCCGATGAAGCAAACTGTTCTGTCTTGGAAGTTCACACACCTTCAGCAGCACTTTTGTTTCGAGGCTCGTTGTGCTCAACCCTGCATGTTTTGGGACATGACAGACACTACGGGCAAGCACTGTAAGCAGGGGCAGAAACCACGTCTTGGGCTCTAGCCCTGGTTGTGCCCCGACTAGGCAAGCAGTACTCATGGCTGGCAGGCTCATTTCTGTACCCGCCCTGCCTGAGCCTTGCCAAGAAGACATATAATAAAATATGAATTAAGTCCTTGGCCAAAAGGAGGCTCACCTCGGCCTTCTGTCCGCCCCGAAAGCTGATGCCGTCAGAAATACAAGACTGGAATTCAGCAATGGTGTAGTACTCCACCTCAACAGAAGGGGGCTCTGGTGGCTTTGGCAGCTGGAACCCCTAAAGCAGAGACAATCAATGAGCAAATAGTGCTAACCAGAGCAGTGCTAAGGCCAGGGACTAGTGCCCACTGGCTCCTCTGGTGCTTGTGGTCATCACTGTCGGCTGGAGAGCAGCTGGCTTTGAAGGCAGCTGTCACTGGCTTTGGGACTCCTCCCCTCCGCTGGGGGGTGGGGGTGGGGCGGTCACTGTCCCCATAACACTAGTTTGAGCTCTTGGGATGCTTACTATAAAGGTCTCAATAGTTGGGCCCCAAGATAGAAAGGAAATGGACAGAAAGCAGGGACAGCACCATTTTATAAGTCTAAGGGTGGATCCTAAGCCAAGCAGGCAGCTGCTGGAGAAGAGGGCGAGGGAGCCAACCGTCCCCGGGGCAGTGAAGTAGGAGTATAGGGGGCAGCTGGTTGGGGACACGGTCTTTGGGAGGAGGTTAGCCTGTTGGTGCCCAGAATGCAGTCCTGTTTCAGTAGGCAGGCAGAATATTCCAGAACTCCTATATGCCTTCTAGACACTGACACACAACTTTTCTTATAGTGGTATTTAAGGACACTCAGAACACTTGGCCCATGATCTATGAACCATGTTCCTTGTTTTTTTTTTAAACAGCCATTTTCTGTGCACCTACTGGGTGCCACTCTGAGGCAGCCAGTATAAGACACATGGACAGTCAGCCTGGCAGATTGTAACCACAAAAGGATGTACTCTGCCTGGTTTCGTCTTCCTGCTTTTGTTTGTTCTTCCTTATACTAAGGGGTTAACACAAAGCAGTTGAAAGGCACGTGAGGGGGGATTGGCAGGGGGAGCAGTTGTGGTGTGAAAGGCAGACCTAGAAGATGCAACTGTTCCAAGCCTTGGTTTCCTCTTAGTTCTGTTAAACAGAACTAAGAATTGGGCTGTGAAGACGATTACTGGGACTATGTAATAGCTTCTGGTGCAGGAAAGGGGGATGGAGAAATAGTTGAACAAAGCCAGAGGTCAATACCTCCAGAACCCTGTTTCTACCCTTGGAGGCTCAGCCACCTCTGTCTTCTGTTCTAAGATGAACTGTCTTGGGTCAGTCTGAGGGAGGGATGGGGGACAGATGGCTTATGGTGGGGTGTACAGCTACACATGGAAATTGGCACAGCTAGCCATGCTTCGACCCTCCTGCACCCTGTCAGGGTGGGATTCAGCTAAGCCTAACTGGAACCAGCCTCCCTCAGCAAGCTTGCGTTTGTGAGCGTGGAAGGAATGACTGACTGTTCTTGCCAAAGTCAAGGCTGCCTGAAAATGATTAGCTGGGGCTCAAAGAGAAGGGAGAAATGGAGAATCCATTGTGCAGCTGCAAAAACCCAAGGAAAAATGAGAGAGAAATTTTAGAGGGACTAATGGACAGGTCACAAAATCCTGATGGCTGGAGGGCACATCTGCAAATGTAGAGTGCCTCCAACTCCCTGGCTGCCAGTCCTAAATAGACGGCATGGCATCCCATCCTCATGACAGATCTAGGAGGTGGCCAGTACTGTTCTTATCGCAGAGAACTCTGGAGGGGAGGTGACCTGCAAAGCGTCTTTCTTTGTTCCTTCTGGGGACGCAAGGGGTTGTAGCCCCCCAAAGCCTCATGCATGCTAAAGCAAGCACTCCGCCACAGAGCTGCACCCTAGCCCTGAAGCTTGCCTTTCAACTGCATCAAGCTGCCCACCACCCCACGTACCCATCCCGTAACAGGCCATTGCTCAGGGTTCTCAGCTTGTCACCAACATTGCTGTCCCCCAAGCTCCCGCTTACACATCTCCCTGTCTCAGATGGCAGTTACTGGGAAACTCCACCCGCTCAAGAGTCAGGGGCCTCGGTGGCGTCAGCCCTCCATGGGCCAGGTCTTGAGGTTCCCTCTCCTTCCTGGAGGAAGCGCTGATCTACCCCTTACCCTCCAGGCTGTCAAGTCCACCACAGTCACTGCACAATCCTGCGAGAGCTGTGAGGCTCCCGGGCCATCGTGGTCAGCAGCTCCATTTCTAGCCCTGGCAATGCCCTACTGGACACTCCTGCTGGCCAGTCTAAATGTTTATGTCTGCCAGTGCAGTGGCCGGGATGGATTTATTTAGCTTTGGAGTGCAGTGCATTTCCGATTATAAACTGCCTGGCTATGCTCCAGGGAGGCCTGGGATCTGCAGGCTTCTGTCCCTGTCCCCCTTCTATCCCCAGTCCTGAAAAGATGGAGACACAACAGCCTCCCCCAAACCCCTGGGCCACAGGCTCCACTTCAAAGGCATCAGGCGAGTAAGGGCGCTGCGGGCCACCCAGAGGAGGAATGAAGAGAATGAAGGGACAGGTCCACATACCAGGCTGGATTCTCTGCGCGGGGGCGGCCTTGTCCTCAGGTTTGGGGAGCCTGAAAGAAGAGTCACAGCTCTGAGAATCCCAGTGACAACAGGGTCTACACCTGCCTGCCCTGGGTGGGATCCAGTCAGGACCCTAAAACGTCAGGCTTTGGCCCCACGGTTATGGAAGACCCTGCATTCTAAGTCACTGTAGGAATGAAGGGACCGTTTAGTTTCTTTGCCCGTGCTGCCCCTCAAACGATAGGGACACCAGTCTACAGATACCGCGGGCAGGCAGTTTGCAAGGCAAGGGCTGCATGGAGCTCTGATTTTCAGTAGAGGCAGGGACCGCATCTGTCTTTGCATATTAGTCCTAAGTCCTCTGAAGGTAGCACAGGACCACAGGGAAACCCTGCCCAGTAGAGACTTCTCCAACTACCAAGAGCTAACAATAAAGTGAAGGGCTTATTTAGGACAGACAGGTTTTAGTAATTTGTTGTGAATGCAGGTGGGGGTGTGCCACAGCCTTAGGGAGTCAGTTTTCTCCTTGCACGTCAGCCCCAGGGACCAAGCGCAGATCAGGCTTGTGCGGCAAGCATCCTTACACTCTCCTGCATCTCTCACCCCACAAAGCACAAAGCAGGCTGCACAGAGACCACAGAGGCCACACAGAGGACCAGGCACTCGGGGGCCTGTGGGTCTGTTAAAAGCAGCTCTACACCAATCATCTAGATTCCTAACGCCTCTTATGGAGAGAAAAGAAGTCATTCCTGCTCTTGGGGTCTGGTCCTTTGCTAAGAGCCAACCTGATTCTTAGGGAGAGGGAGGCCAGCAGCCTAGCCTACCTCTTCCTGCAATGTGTCTTCAGAGAAGCAGCCTGCAGGTACACAGCCAGCCACACTCCCTAGCTCCCTTCAATCTTGTGACCAGCACAGGGCACACTGCTGATCACAGTCCAGACTGCAGCTCACGGTGAAAATGACATGGAGGTCCCGGACAGTCCCTGGATTCCCTTGCACCCATGCCCACCCACTCTGCAAAAGCTCTTTGGGAGGAAATGGGACCTCTAGCTGCTTACTGATCTGAGCCCTCTGAGGGGCGATCCTGGCCACGGCTGGGGAACCCTGGGACAGCTTTGATGTGGTCCTCTCGGGGACACCCAAGGCGCTGCCATTGGAGGCATTGCAGAGGATGGGGAGACTGATCTCCTTCTTGGTGATGGGGGCTTCAGACCCCTCGCCCTCAGCTGGACCCTCCTTCTCCCCAGATGCCTTCTTGTTGAGTAGGTTGCTTATCTCCATGATATTCCCGATGATCTCCACTGGACCCGCCAGGTTCTTCTTCCGGCTTGGCAGGTCATCCTTGGCCTTCTTCAGATAGGACGCTGGTGCCCAGCCCTCTTTGCCTAGATATCTGTGAGAAGGAGGATCACACCGTCAATAAAGCCCTCATATCTGTGTTCCCCTTGCCTAGCTGAGCAGTTCCACTAATCCAGAGGAAACCAGAGCTGGGGTCAATGGGAAAGACACTGGACACTGAGCTATTACCCTTACGCAAAGACAGAACCTTAAACTTAGGGTTCTTAAACACTGTTCTGCCCAAAACGTAGCCTTCATGATGGCCTGCTACTATATGACCCAAGAAGTTGGGGGTCTCTCTAGAGAAGAGAAATGAGACGTGGATGTCCTAAGAACAGTCACATTTCCTATGGGAAGTGGCGAGCACAAGCGACAGTTCTTGTCCTGTTACCTTGTTTCTTTAAGAGTTCAACTTTTTTCTGTCAGACACAGGGATGTGGCTGCTAAAGAGCTCTGAACGATAGCTTGAGACCAGAAAAGGACATCTACAAAGACTGCTGAGTGTGGTGGCACATGCCTAAAATCCCAGCAGTCAGAAGACTGAGGCAGGAGAATCAGAAGTTGTAGGGCCGATCAGGGATTGGATTTCAGGCCTGTGTCACAGGAGGGGTTCATGCATGGTCATAGGCCTCTGGGAGACCTACTATTGTTGTCTTCCTAAGTGGACATGGCTGTCAAGCTTCCTTCTGAACACTTACTTTTACATACATAAGTTAGTGTTACCCTCAGCCTTGGCCAGAGTCAGGCTTCTCTCTCTGGTGGTCAGCAGTTAGTGCAGACTCACAACCGGTCCCAACCATTTCAATGCTGTCACTGAATGTCTGACCTAAATGGGACATCCATATCATTCCCTCCCACCCCCTCAGGTGACATCACAGAAGAGTGGTGGAAAGAATACTGAGAGCCAGAGGGTGGGGAGGAATGCTGGGAAATGCTGTTTTCTGGTCTCGACAAGGCTACTGCACCCATGAACTCACAGTAGCTGCAGTTGTCTGTACATTACAGCACGAATTGGACCCAGTAGATCACATGTTCATGCACTTGTGCATGCACGCACACACACACACACACACACACACACCACACATACACTCAGACATACCATACACATACAGTCACACACACAGCATACATATATTCACACACACATACCACACACACACCACACTGACACACACCACACACACATACACTGACACACACACCCCACACATACACACTCATACACATACACCACACATACACACTCATACACATATACCACACATATACTCACACACACACCACACACACACCACATACACTCACACACACACCACACTGACACACACAACACACCCCACACATACACTCACACACACACCACACACATATACTCACACTCACACACCACACTGACACACACCACACATACACACATATACTGACACACACACCCCACACATACACATACACCACACATACACTCACACATCACACACCACACACACACACACAGACACACCATACACATACACTCACACATACCACACAATACACTGACACACATACTCTCACACACACACACACACACACACACACACACACACACGGAGAAGATAGGAAGGGAGGGATAGGAGCACTGGGGCAGCCTGAAGGGAGTAGAAAGGATGAGTCGGGGGTGGATGAGGTCAAATACAGTGTTTATATATACAAAAATGTCAAAGACAAAAAAAGAGAGAGATAATTCTAGTTTTTATTTTTGAGCTGTATAGCTGGGCCTGGGCTAGAGAGTAAGACTCTCACAGAAGGAGAGAGGCAGGCTTTAAGCCTTAGCACCCGAGGACGAGCTTGGAGCACACACCTATAATCCCAACAGTCTGGAGGAAGAGTCGGGGGACCAGAAGTTCAGAGCCATCCTCAGTTACACAGGCCAGCCTGGATACAAGAGACCTTTTGATTAAATGAAACAATGTTTAAAAAAAAAGGAAAAAAGGGGCTGGAGAGATGGCTCAGAGGTTAAGAGCAATGACTGTTCTTCCAGAGGTCCTGAGTTCAATTCCCAGTAACCACATGGTGGCTCACAAACATCTGTAATGAGATCTGGTGCCCTCTGCTGGAATGCAGACATACATGCATACAAAATACTGCATACACAATAAATAAATAAATAAATAAATAAATAAATAAATAAATTAAAAAAAAAAAAAAAAGGAAAAAATGAGTGGCGGGGAGGTGGTGGCCACCAGCCGATGGGGGAGGGCTCAGGTCCTGTGCAGGGACAGCAGACAGATCAGGTTCACAGAGTAAGTCCACAAGTGTAACCTCTCAACGCTGTGGGGCAAAAATGAACTACGCAATAGGTGAGGACAGTTAGCAAAGAATAGATGGTATGATGAGATCTGGGCTCTTATCATACAGTAAAGCGAGGGAGAGAAGAAAGCCAGCATGGTAGCTCATGTCTATAATCTTACCACGGGGAGGGGGCTGAGGCAGGAGGACCACTTTAAATCAGACCAGCTTAGGTCACCCAGGGAGTTCCAGACCAACCAGAACTATATACAAGACTTTGTGTCTTTTTTTGTTTTTTAAAGTCGCATTTATATAATCTTGGGCGATGGAAAAATAACTTTTCTAACCAGAACTACAAATACAGATGAAAGCATATGACTGGATAAAATACAGACCATTGTTATGGCGAAACCAAACCTAATCAAACCAAACCGAAAGCTCATAAACACAGGCTAAAGGCAAATGACAGGGCTGACTTAGTTTTTGGTGACTCGTTGAGTTTTTTAAAACAACTTCTATCTCTTTCTCCACATGGTGCTGAGCCTTTACCCAAATCCACAGGGAACTTGCTTCCGGACACAGCACTAACTGGCCAGTGCTTCCAGCTCTGGGTTGCAATGTCCCCATCTGCTCCCTGGGACACACACAGCTGGCTCTTTAGCTCTTAAAGGCCAGATGTCTGACAACCCCCCACTGCCCTTCCTGACGTGACCTTGATCTTGGGAGTGTGTTAGGTAGGAAAAAAAGACCACAGAAGTTCAGACAGGAGTGGCTCCTCATATTCATGTCACTGGGAGGTACACACAGGCTCTGCCCAACTTACTTAGTGGGCAGACATTACTGAACTGAGGATGGCTTCTGGATGTGAGGGTGCAAACAGAAGCAGAGAGTGTCAAGGATACACAGGAGCAGTGGGTGAATGTGTCTGCTGACCTTTCTATGGCAGTAGCCAAGGCTTAGAAGGCAAGGCAGGTAGCAGAGGGGCCTGAGGAAAGCGTGTGACCCCAGGCCCAGAGCCCGGGGTTCGTGAAGCTCAGAAAAAGCTGAAGACACCTTGCTGGTATCTTGTTATGTGAAAGGAACAGGGACAGGGGCTGTGGGGAGATAATCAGGCCTCCAGTATGGCCCAGGGTGTCCCTTTCACAGCCCTTTGTGCGTCATGCTCCAGTCTTTGTGTTATAGGATACAGCAGACAGAGCAATGCATAGCATCAGGGGTGGCTGTGTGTCTGGGCCCATCTTCCTCACAGCTGTTTCCCAGCTCGGACACCAGAGATGCAGGCTGCGGAGGGAATGTGTAGGAGTGTGTGTGTGTGTGTGTGTGTGTGTGTGTGTGTGTGTGTGTGTCTCAGGCTAGGGGAGGAAAAGAAAGACAGGAAATGAGGATCAACACACAGCTTGGAATGTTGGGAAATAGCATGTTTAAGGGGGTATCTGGCAGTCTTCTTAAGGTAGAATGGGATCACTAGGGTCTGTCTCAATCCAAGTCCTCACTGCTAGAAAGAACCAAGATATCGGGACAGTAGCTGACTAGAAGTAACCCAGAGAGATGCTATTTGTTTTCTTAAGAACACAACAAACAGAGGGAGGAACAGAAAATCCAAAATATAGAAAGGGATCACTTCCAGGCAAACACACAGAGGCCACCAGCCAGCTGGGCTATGTTAGCCTTTCCACGTCTGGTTGTGGCTGATGGGCTTGCAGTAGGTTCCAGCTTCCACTGTTTAGAGAACATAAAAGCCCAGGGTGGCTGATAAACGAGTAAATACACAGTCCCACACCACCTAACATCTCAGTCCTCTAGACTGACGGGCACCAGGACCAAGGTGGGCGACAGCAATGTTCCATTGGCTCACACTAAGGCTCGGTTACATGCACCCTCCCTGCAGCAAAGACAAAGCTTCAGGACCGCCAAACTCCTCTGTGTTCTGAGCCACACTGATGGATGTCACAGGGTGTCTGGGTGGGGGCTGTGTGAGGAACTGAGGCAGCTGTCCCTGCAGCTCACACAGGGGGCTGCTGTTAGCTGGGCAGTCAGCAGAAGAGAGACGCTGAGCAAATTCCCCACAGCTGAACTGCTCCAAAGGAACTTGCCAGACGCCAGACACCATAAATGCGCTTAAGGCAGGTCTACAGCTGGTGACAGCAGAATGAGACCCACAGAGTTACACACACACACACACACACACACACACACACACACGAACCTCATTGGGCTCTGAGAGGGAGTGAGAGAAGGGAGAGCTCCCACCCTGCAGAGTGCAACAGCCTACACCCACCAGGGACAGGATGCAGGAGGCCCATGTCTGGGGCCTTGAGTGCTGAGCTGGGAGCAGCAGGGGCAGCCTGCTGGGGCTTAGGAGGGCCTGTGGAGGCTGAAGAGCAGGCCAGGCAGCCAAGGCGGATGCAGACAACAAGATTCAGATGTGACCTCTTGACAGGTGCATGGTGAGGAGCCGCACCACTGCCTGTGAGCTGAGCTGGCCCCGTGCCCTCCTGGCCTGTGATTCAGGTCCCAGGAGACAATCAGTGGGCAGAGCAGGCACACAGCTGTCTTTAGGATCCACCTGCCGGGCTCCTACCTGATGTACCACCAGCCTTCCAGGTTCTTCCGAATCACCTCCACGGTGACGCCCTTCTCGAAGCCAATCTCGTCCTTGCTTTGGCTAGTGTAGGGCTGCACAGTGACGTACTTCTCTTCTGCAAGTGGGCCACGGAGTAAGAAAACAGTTATTTGAGGCTGTGGTACAGATGGATCCTGTCTCCCATTCCTCTCCGCCCCGGCCTAGTCTTGTTCACCCCTGGGCCAGCATTGGCTTTTCCAAAGAAGAGGAAGGAGCAGGACTCAGAGAGCAGAGGAAGAAATCACTGGGGTCAGGGTCACTGCTGTTCCTAGGATAAGCCAAAGCCAGGCAGGGTTCCAGGTGCCCAGCACAGCCTCGGGCAGCAGGAAAGCAGGTCTGCTAGCCAGGGTGTTGGGGCCCAGAGTTTGGAGGAATCTGCTTCTCCTAGAGTCTAAGTCAATAAACTGAGGCCAGTGCCAGGTGTCTCTCAAAGGCCTTGAGAACCCTAGCATCTCCCGCCTCACTCAGAACATGCCGTGTCCCATCTATACCCATACCCAAGATTCCAGTCCTGTAAATCTCTTCATTTCTCTCTTGGTCCAGATGTTTTCACGGTGCTGTCACTGAGTACCACAGCCCTATTAACAGCAGACTACAGCATCTACCCTAGAGTGTTCCACAGAGCCAGTTCTACAGGAGTGGTTGTCGGTAAGATGAAGGTCATGCAGCTATGGAGCCGCCAAGCCATCGAGGGTGGGAAGACCTCAAGGGCCCTCCCACCAGCCCCTGTAGGAGAGCTGCAAGCTCCATTTCCCCTGTGTGCTTTCAGGAGTCACCTCCAAGTTTTCCCATAGCACTGGAGTCCTGGAAAGAGCTTGGTGGGAACGCAGAGCAGCAGGCATCTCCCTGGGCATCCCTAAGGACCTCTACTCGGGCCTCCATGTCTGCTGAGGTCCACACCTGTCCTCGCGAAGCCCTCTGGTGGACCCACAACTGACTGGCAGAGGCCACCTGCCTCTTCTAAGGCTGTCTATAGGATGTCATGGGGCCCAGGGAAGAACATGCTGCACCCTCCCCCACCCCCACTGGAAGAAGTGATTTTCTGGAGGTGCCCTTAGGAGGCTCGCCCTGCACCCTGGAGGTCGCCATCCTTCCCAGCACACAGCTGTAGAGGCTGTTGCAATAGAAGCTGAGACTCTCAGTGAGGAGGGAAAGCAGGGACTGAGTAGGAAGTTTGTGTGGGAGTTCAACATAGCAGGATCCTGCTGCTCCTGGTACCCAGCTGTGGTACCCACCCCCTGGACTCCTTCACCAGGCCTTGTGGGGCAGCCTGCCTCAAGCTCTGGGTGGCTATGGGGCTAGGAGAGTTCTTCTGTACCAACTCCCTGCTGTGGGAGGGCCACCTGCTCATTCTCCCCTGGATTATCAGGGTTTTGTCTGCAGCCCTGTGCTGGGCCAACGGCATTCCCCTCTGGTAGAGGCAACTGTTCTGCTAGGTTGCAGAATGGAACTGATGGACCACAGGCCATACTTGAAAGGCTGCCCAAAAGCAAAAGGTGGGTGATGGCCTCAGGAGGCTGCGTGGCTCTTCATTGGATGTCCCTTTACCAAAGGCTTTTCTCAGCATCAGCTGACGAGGGCTCTGATCGGGGCCTGCAGATTCCAGACCAGCCCTGCCCAGGATTACTGCCAACACTGCCTGAGAACCTGCCCAGCCAGATTCTGACTAGGGTCCTGGAGAAGTTCCACAGGCTCAAGGCCAACCCTGCTCCGTTTTCCAGTGGGGCATGGTAAACCTTGGCCTAGGCAGTGGCTAAGGGACAGCGCCAGGTCTGGGAATGCAGGGCCTGAGGTCCAGGGAGGCGAGGCCTGGGCTCCACATTTTGCCTTTGTTTAGCTAGGCTATTTTTAAAAACCTGTGGTCCAAGCAGGAAGCTATCGGGAAACTTTTCCTAGGCAAGGTTGCTTTTGAAGAGGAAAATGACAGCCTTTCTTAGGGGGAGATCAGAGGAACCCTGTCCTGGCCCATGGCTGAGAACAGGGCCTTGACCATGCGTCCAGCCTCTTGGATGCTAAGCCTGGCCACAGCAACCTTTTAAGTGTGTGTGGTGGGCGGAGCCCATGACCAACCACTGAGGCACAGGGAGGACCATGGATATTGCTTCTGGCTGCATCCACAAAAGTCCCTGTGCTTGGGGACACCGGGGATGTCATGCTCTCCCAGTTAAGATTCTAAACAGCACAGAGGTTTGTTCTGTCCTTTTCAGTGCAGGGTCCCAGAGAAGAGTTCAGGCCCTGGCTCCTGACAGGGAGAGGAACTGGGGCCACCTCTGCCTGGCTGCCTCTTTGGACGGGTGGTTTTCAGCTCGGTTTGGCCAGGGAGACAGAGATGTAATCCACGTGCAGTTGACACAGGTCACTTGGGTCTCGGGCCATCCATCTTACAGGTGAGCTGAGGGTAAGCAAAGAGCGGTCCCACCTTTGGACCTGGCCATAGACACTATGGCCAGTGTCTAGACAAGAGGATGTTCAGACAGATGGAAAAGGCTCTCTCTAGGTAGTGGGTCTGCAGTTGGTCTCTGGAAGAGATGCCCCTTTAAGAGACTGGGGTGACTGGGGGGTAGTCAGGGCTTCTGGGTTCTATGAGCGTGCAGAGACGATGGCTCTCTGGCCCTGGTGAATGACAGCTGGCCGAGAGGCTGGTGGGTGGGTAGGCTGGGGGAGGTGGACAGCCTGTCCCAGTTTGGGAGGCAGGGGCTGGAAACCCTGCAGTTTCCAAACCGCAGAAGCCTCCTCTTTCCAAACACTTTCCCCTCTGTCAGCAGTCTCTCTGCTCCCCTCCTGGCCCCCCTCAACTCCCACTAGAGAGGCCCCTGATTCCAAAGGCCTGGCCAGCTGAGGGATGGGGAGTAGAGGCCCCGGGAAGCACCGGCTTTTCTGATCTAGTTCCTTGACCCACTGCTGGCTCCCCGCTCCAGCTCCACTACTCAGAGTGTGATGCCTGCCAACCAGCTCTCTGCAAGCCCTCCTTGGCTGCCTGGTGTAATACAGTTCATAGGACTAGGGCTGGGAAGTGTGTGACAATGAACATGAAGTTATGGCTCATCATTGCTCGTGTACAGGCGACCACAGAACTGTGATTATTTGGGGATTTACATCTACACGTATTTTATACCATGCCTTCATGGTAGGAAGGGTTGTGTATGTGTTATTTGTGGGTATCACTGCAGTTATATGCTGATGTGACAGGGAGCCATTAGGTGTATGCAAAATCCATTTGTGACTACATAAATTAGCTACAGATGCTGGGCCAATGTGTGGTGGCACTCCTGGAGTCACTATGCGCGGCTGTGTATACAAGACTGTGGTTGCATATCCAGGGTGGCGGTTGGATATGACAGAGCACGAGTCACACCTGTAGCCTTCAGGCCCTTGTGTGGGCCTGTCTCTAGCCTCTGCTGCATCTGCGTGGTCATGCAGGCAAAGGCATGTCTGGGACTCAGTAAGTGACGGTATGCAGAACAGGCCAAACCTTTGTCTTCCTTGTGTGATCTGGGCCCACATCCTATTTGTCTTTGCCACTAGAGCTGGAGGCCGGGTTCCACCCTAACCTCTTGGCAGAGTTGCCCCCTCCTTCCTGGCTTTAGGGTGGCGTTTGCTTTAAATGTGGTCTGTTGCTGCTTCTCCAATTCAGGCTGCCTGCGTCAGCCCCCAGGGTCCAAGTTAAGCCCTGCCCCAGGACAAGCTGGGTTCTTTATGGCCAATACTCTGAGTCAGCCTTTGGCTGTGGCCACCCTGAAGTCTATATGTTCTGTATCCTGAATCTTGGGGATGGCCCTGAAATACACTGCCATTTGGGGACAAGTTTTGAGGTGAGGGTGTGGAGTCATGGGGTGTCCCCATTTTTCCAGAGATGCCTGTGTTCACTATACACCCATCTCGTTTCCATCTGTACTGTCACCACAACAAGTACACGCTCTGCTCTCCTCTCTGGGGGACAGGAGAGACTGACCGCCCACCAGCATGAAGGTCTACACATGTTTAGGGGTTCACCCAGAGGCTATCCCTGCACGTTGGGAAGGGACTCGGCCAAACAGCCCGGAGTCAGCAGATGTCAGCTCCCTAGTCAGCCCGGGGGCCATTCCTGGAGCTCTTACTGAGCTCCTCCTGAGACCCCACAGGCCTCTGCCCCTGCTGCTGAGGGTTGTCCCCTTAGCAATGTTGACTGGGGAGTGCTTTGGCGCCATGATGGGTTCGGCTTCCCTGCCCTTGTAGGTTCAAGTGGAGGAAGGCTGGTAGGCTGGTTTATCAGCTGGTGGGAGAGCTGTGTGAGGGAAACTTTCTTAGTGGAAGGCAGTAATGAAGGTCAGGAGAGGAAGTCCTGGCAGGAACAGAAAGCTGTGATCTCCTTAATATACGGGAGCCAGGACAGGGACGGCCTTCCTTTGAGACCCAGGGCCCTCCCTCATGCCTCTCTTCCCTTCCAAGGAACATACAAACTCATCATCACTCCCACAACCCAATGCCCAGGGCACTACTAGCAAGCCAGAGCAAACCCTAGTGCCACTCCAATCAGTTCCCAAACAAGGCCCTGTCCCCAGTCTGCGTTGCAGTGAATGAGACAAAAAGTCTGGCCAGATCTGGGTGAGCCAGGAGACCACAGGCACAGAGCAGAGCAGGCAGAGAGGGTGTTGTTAGGGTTAGGGTTAGGGTTAGGGTTAGGGACAAGCGGCTGCAGGGAGGAGAGGCAGGCGCCTGTGGTCACCTCGACTCTGCTGCCTGTTGACCATCCCGCCCAGGGTCCACCGGCGATCCAGGCGCCGCAGGTGGGCTTTGCGTCTCTTGGACACTGGCGTGAGAGATGGTGATGGTGCCCACGGCCCACACGAACCAAACCGGTGGAGAGAATGGAGATGGGCATGAGAGGGATGGTGGAGGGGAGGGGACAGGGAGATGTGTCCACACTGCCAGTCACTGTCACCTAGACCCGACCAGACTGAACCGAGGGGCACACCCTGGGGGAATGACCTGACTGACACGTGGCCCTGTCAGCAGGTACAGGCACATTCAACCAAGCCCCCCAGCCTCCACCCCCAAATCTAGGGGTAGACTAAAGGATTTAGGGCCCTGCCCCGTCAGAGATGGGAAGAGCCTCAGCATCAGCTCCCAGAGATGGAGGGGTCACTGCTCCCCGAGTTCTGGACAGGGTTACCATCCTGCCAGCCTGTCGCTATGGCCAGGCACTATGCGAGGGGAGGAGGGTGCCCAGGGAAAATGGGGACGGGCTCCCGGCTGGGCCAGAGCTCTCTCCACTCTGTATCTCTGCTCTTATTTGTCCCCACTAGGTGGGGTCCACTGAGGCCCAAGACCTTGCCTTGCACCTGTGTCCCCAGGGCCTTACAGGACACCAGGAACTGGCCCAGGAAAGGTCTGCCGAGTGAAACACACAAGGGTGGATGCTACAGGCAAGACTCTGTTCCATTATGCTCCCCTTTTATGTTTCTGATGACACAGACCATGGCTCCCCAGCGGCTCACTGCTCAAGCCCGCTTTGCCAGGGTACCTTCCTCTGCCCCTCCGACATCCTCACTGCAGACAAGGACTGAGCTCCCAGACGCCCTCAGGCCTGGGCCTGCCCCCCTGTGACTCCTAAGGGAATAACACTGGACCAGGATCCCAGGGTGCCAGCTTGCGTCACCTCCTACCATGAAAGGAACTGCCAGACTGTTTAGTTATGGGGAGGGTGGCTAGCTGGTAGGGAGAATAAAAGTAACATTGTCCACACACAGCTGGACCAAACTCCAGTAAATCCTGGGAGTATCTGCCTGCTCTGTGAGGACAACCTGCTCCATCTTCCTCTTATTTTTTGAGTTTTATTTTATTTTTTACTTTATGCGTATGCAAGTGTACCCGCCAATAGCAGAAGAGGGTATTGGATCTCCTGAAACTGTAGTTTAAGAAGGTTGTGAAGTGCCCTGTGGGTGCTGGGAATTGAACCCAGCAATCAGTGTTTTTAACCAGGGAGGCATCTCTCTAGGCCTGCAACCTACAGTGTTTTTAACCAGGGAGGCATCTCTCTAGGCCTGCAACCTACTTCGTACAGAGGCCTAGGCAACAGGATCCAAGTGTGGGCTCCAGCCCAGTCACACGCTCAGCTCTCTCAGTGGCCTGTGAAGGCTCTGTAGATCTGGGTAGGAGGTTATTAAAATGTGGCCAGGGGTACTGGCACACAGGTCCTCCCAGGGGCATGCAGAGCTGTAGCATTCTTGGTGCACACATGCATATACACACACCCGGAACCCTGAAGTTACCCTGGCTGCCCCCTAATCCCTAATCCATCAGGGGTAAAAGCCTTCTACAAACCTGTCTTGTAACTTCAGCTGTCAACTCGACATAGCTCAGAGTCATGAGTGAATCTCAAGTTGGGGACTGCTTCCATCGAATTGGACGGCAGCCATCATGGGGACATTTTCTTGACTGTTGGTTGATGTAGGAGGGCCCAGCCCACCATGGGCAATATCATCCCTAGGCTTGGTGGATATGTATGTGCCCTGGGCTGTTTAAGAAAGCTAACTGAGCAGATGCTTGGGTAGTCAGTTCCTCTGTGTTTCTGCTTCAGGCTCCTGCCGTGGCTTACCCTGGATGATGGGCCACAACCTGGAAGTGAAGTGAACCCTTTGCTCCCCAACTTGGCTATTGGCCATGGTGTTTGTCACAGCCGCAGAATACTCTATTACCACTTGTCCCCACTAAGTGCCCATGCTAAGTGTCGAGACCTGTAAAGTGCTTTTCTACCCTGCCTGGTTCTGTCTCAGGCCTCCATTGCTACACAATTCCTCTGCCCTGCTCCTGCTGCTGGAGTCATCTGTCATATACTCTCCTTGACAGGCCCAGGGTGGCCTTCCCTCCTCACAAGCAGATGGGACATGGCACAGTAGGGACTCCACCTGCACCCAAACCTGATAAGGACAACAGGTGACTAAACGTCTTTGCAATTAGAAATATGACACATGTGTCATCTCTCAGGGCAGGTAACAAGGGTTTGCTCCTGGACTGACTCACATCGGGGCCTTTAGAAAGGTTTTATCTTTTTGTTCTTTTAAAACAGGGTCTTCTGTGGCCCAGGCTAATCTTAAACTCTTGAGAGGGCTGGGCAGGTCTTGAAGAGTAGGGCACTGGGTCGGTGGCAAGGTCTGGGGACTGCAGCCAGACTGATAGAATCCAACTTAGAGGTACAAAAGAGCTAGAGTTAGATGTAGGCTCAAGGACTCAGGCTCTGTCTGAATGTCCCAGCTCTTCCCAAGGGGTTCTAGGCTCTAGAGCCTGTTACAAGGATGTGTGTGGTGGGAGTTCTTCCTCTAATCACAGGGATGAAATAAGGCATGGGCACAAGAAGGGTGTGGCCCCAACCACCAACAGAGTAACTAACATCGTGGGGAAGAATGAATAAGGCCCGGCCCTTTCCGAGCTGCTTATTTTGGCTTGGGCTGCAGGGAGAAGCGGGATGGAGGAACAGGCCTGAGCTGTGGGTGGCGGGCAGGTCTACATCTCGCCATCTGGACCATTCCCACTGACTGACCATTAGGGAAAGGATTCCTGCAGCCAGGCCACAGGAGATTTGGAAGGCATTAGGAGCAGAGAGTTGGGACACGGGAGGCTGAGACTTGCTGGGGTACTGTTGGCAATCTCTGTCAAATGCATGGAGAACACCCAGAAGACTTGCATGGGAGTGTGAGCGCCCCAGACTCTGGGAAGCTGAGAGGTACCTCACAGGCCAGCCTGGTCCGTGCCCCTGGGCAGCTGTCAGTGCCCAGAGAGGGGAGGGGGGTTGACACACAGCAGGAACTGTGTCCATGTGACTGCTTGGGGTCTTTGCTGCAGGAGCCTAGTGTGGAGCTGAGTGTAGAAGAAGCAGGTCTCCATGGAGTTCTTGAGAGAAACTCGGGAGTTGCTGGTAGTTTCTAGCCCTAAGCCTGTTCTCTACCCCAAAGCTGATAAAGTCTGAAGTCCATGACCCAGGAGAATTTTTCCTGTTCTGAGCCCTACATGGGGGCTGACAAAGACAGGCCAGAGTGTGAGACAGGCCAGAGAGTCTCGGTGAATGAATCCCAATGGAAGGGGCTTGGGTAAAATCCAACCCACTGTAGGAGTTCAGGTGGCTTAGGGAAACGAGATGGGGAGAGTCTCCAGGAGGGGCTGGCCCCTGGAAAACCCTTCCACCCAGCTTTACCAGCCTCCTAAGAACATCTAGGTCCTCACCTTCTCCAGTCTTGGAGGGGTTGATGTCTGAGTCATCTCGTGTGCCATTCTGGGCCTCCAAGTAGGTGGCAGGGACCCAACCCTGTTCTTCAGATGTGCTCACAAACCACCAGCCTGCAGAGGGACAAGAGAGAGCAGGCGTGAATGTCTGCAGTATGGGGTGGCAGGGTGGGTGGTGGCAGGGTATAGGGCAGGAGTGGCCAGGGAGAGGGCAAGGCGTGCCCAGAGGCAAGGCGTGCCCAGAGGCAAGGCGCTGAGCCCGACAACCTGGGCACCTGGGGAATGCCCGGAGTGACTATAGCAGAAAAGACAAACATTCACCCTGAGAAGAGGGCCTGACAGACCTCCACCCACTGACGGACCTCCACCCACTGACAGACCTCCACCCACTGACGGACCTCCACCCACTGACGGACCTCCACCCACTGACAGACCTCCATCCACTGCCATGCACATTAAAGTGTAGTGCAAACAATGGTATGCCCCCCTGTCCCGTCCCCGTCTCCCCCATGTAGAATGCACCGTTCAGGAACCGTGAAGTGGGTCCTGTCTGGGCACCCGCCACCTGGGATCTTTCTTCCCATCAGCCTCACTGGCACACCGGAAGTCAGCGGCCTCCGCTTCTGAAAGGCATGGCTGCTCACAGAGGCTGACAGGCAGCTGTCTCTTTTCCCCTACACCGGTCACCCTGGCTTCCACTTAAGCTACTCGCCGCTGCCCTTGAAGCATGGTGGCTCCGCACCCACCTTAAGTGGGCGCTGCATCCTCTCCTCATGTGACCTCTGACATCGGGGCCACACCACAAAGGCTCGTTCATGTTGCTTCTTCCTCACTTGTTCATTCATTCAAAAATCAGTTGTGGAGTAAAATCTCTTGGCCCCCGGCACACCTCCCTTCTCTCCCTTGTCCTCCACATGCCCCGGGAACACGGGCCATTTCCTAGGTCTAAAGTTAGACCCTCACTGTCCCTTACAACAAGCCTGGGTTTCCACATAGTCTGTGATTACCTATCCCCACGCTTCTAGGATGTTCCGCTGAGGCCATGGCCTGTTTGCCTCAAAGGTCTTAGTTGGGTCACTGACTATCTGGGGTTCTGAGGTTTCTGTTTCCTCTGCCCCTAACAGAGTTGGCCCTTGCTGGCTGCCTGGCATAGGCCACAGTGTTCATTACTTCCAGGCGTGCAGAAAAGGTCAGTGGGATGCTCCTTCCCCATGACACAGAGCAACCATACAGCCTCGACTCGGACCCGAGCACTAGGCCTGCCCTCTGGGCTGCACTGTGATGGCGACGCCAGGCCACACAGGCCAACTCCTGGGGGAACCCCATATCTAAATTTTCTTGGAGGCCCAAAGGCCTCCTGCATCAGGCCATCCCTTGGGCCAGAAGAGGCAGCTGGGTGTGGCCCACAAGCTGATGGGTCTCTGGGTTAAGGTGCTGCAATTTAAGAAAAGGAGCTCGAGAGAGAAAGATGCCATGCAACAGGGTTCAAGCAGAGGGTTGTTTTTTGTTTTTAATTATGGAAAGGGATCGTAAAAAGGGGAAAGGGAAGGGAGGAGACCAGCCTCTGGAGACAAGTGCAGCAGGAGAGAGGAGGGGGGAGACGAGAGGAGGGAGAGGGAGAGGGAGAGGGAGGGAGAGGGAGGGAGAGGGAGGGGGAGGGAGAGGGAGGGAGAGGGAGGGAGAGGGAGGGAGAGAGGGAGACAAAGAGAGAAAGATGGGAGGTGGGCAGGGCCTTTTCAAAGGGAACACAGTGAACATGCACAGGTGGTGCTCTTAGTGGCTGCAGCTGAGGGCGAGTCCTGTCAGAACCCCAAGATGACTGAACACTAACACGAGGCAGAAGTGAGACTTATGAGAGACTAGTTGAGGCCACTGAGCAATTCTGGACAGGTGTTGGTACCATCTGTGGGGACTGGGTGGTAGACACAGGCAGGCCAAAGGCTGGTAATGCTCCTCTGGAACCTCCTCCAAGACCCACCAGGCGCTCCCCGCCTCTGGGGCTGGAGGTGGCTGTCAGGGCACCAGACGACTGGACTCATCAGCTCATGGAGGATGACTGGTTCCAGGTGCTTTCGGCACCATGCAGAACTAACGACAGTGAGAGACGGATGCTCACTTTGAGAGCAAGCTCAGGCTGGTGCTGCTCTTGCCCTTGCTACCCCCCATCCTCTGCTTTACCTTGGGTGTTCTGACATTTGGGTAGTAGGTGAGGCCCTTGCTTATACTGGCAGTGGTTGGAGAAGACTGACAGGGTGAATGTTCATGGATGTGAAGACAGGGCTCTCACTGCGTCCTTTCCTGAGCCGGGACAGCCCCTGAGCATCGCAAGCTGGTCCAGAAGAGCCAGGCTGTCTGCATTTTGCTGTTCATGCAGCCTTCTCTGTCTACTCTTTGCAAAGACGGCTAGCAGGTGTCAGAGGGCCCTGGCTGCCCACTCATGGAGAGGAGCAGGGAGGTGGTCAGAGGGATAGCTCACCAACTGCTCCTTAGCCTCAGGGTTGAAGTGGAAACCTTCCTCCCTCTGCTGGATTCAGGGGAGGGGACACTACACAGGCTTGAGTATCAATCCTCCTTCCCAAGTGGACCCCCAAGAATGCAAGGGATAGTTAGCCACAGTACCCAACTTGGGGTCACTTTCTAAGAGGCTCTCGAAAACCCAACCCCACACCTGTATTTGCAGCCTCGTGTTCCAATGCTGACAGCAGGGTGGTGACACCCACATCTCCTCCTCACAGACCCTTCTCCTGCTGACCTCCAAAGGCCAGTCCATTTGTCAACGCTGTCAACGTGCAGCAAGCCACAGAGGTGTCTGCAAAGCCTGGCCTTCACGGAAACCCTTCTGGGAGTGGATTTCTCCAGGGTGGATCTGGGTTGGGGCCAGGGGTTTTATTGTCATTGGACAAAACAAGATGTGCTTTGGGGAGACAGCTCAGAAGCAGGCGTCCAGGTAAGGCTTTGTCAAGATCCTTTCATGACCGACTTTTTCCTATGCCAAAGTGTCCCTGCTGCCAGTGCCCTTGTCCAAAGCAACTCCTCAAAGCCCCAGGAAGGTAGGTGGCTTGGTGATCTCACGGAGGCTAAGTGACTATCTTCCAAGCTTTCTAACTCACCCTGGGCAGGAGCTAAGGATGACTGCGCCTTCTCCAGGCCGACGGTTTGTGGGGGACGCCAAGGGTGATGTTTCTTCTCAATGTGAGGCACAGAACCCAGACTTTCCTAAGGGGGATTTTATCAGCCCCGCCCAATCTGAACTTCCAGAAGGCAGCTCCCTAAGTCTACAAGATTCTTGTTCCTACCCTCTCCTTCCTGTGTGGGCCTTTCTCCTCATCTCCAGGGATGTGACCCCAGGAGTCAAGCATTTCTCTTTTGGAGGTTTCTGTGCTCTCCCCTAGTGTCCCCTACTGTCCCTTCTCCTCCTACATGTTGCTGCCTCCCTTCCTGTGGAGCCAGAGATGTAGGTGGAGGCGGCTCCAGGGGCGGGGCGGGGCAGGCCTGGATCTCTGGCCTACCTCTACTGCACAGGCTTTGTACAGGAGGCTGGACAGACTTGCTAAGAGGCTGAATGAATGACAGTGGCACCCAGTGGGCAGAGCGTCACTCGGTTCCAGTGTACCTCACACTGGCTCCAGGTACCCTCTTTAAATGTGATGTGCCAGAAACGTCTGTGCGTGTCTGGCCCACCCAGGCAGATCTACTTCCCTAGACACCAGCCTCGGACTTCATTCTCCTGCAGTGGCCGCAGGACCTAGGCTGAGGCTGTCATCACCCTTGTAGCCTAGTGGCCAGCACTACCCAGGACTTCCACTCCAGCCCCAGCACTTGTAGGACTGGGCTGGGTAGCTTCCAGGACCCCTGGTGCCAGGTGAGATGATAGCTCTAGAGAGAAGCCTAACACTGCCTCAGCTGTGGGCACCTCCAACAAACCATGGGCAGGCTGACACACTGCCTAGGTGGCATGGGTGAACATGGGCAGAGGTGTCCACCTGCTCCCATCCATGGCTGCTGGCAGGCCTCTCCTAGATGCCAGTAACTCAGACATCAATGGGTTCCTGACCAAAGTCACTGCTGTTCTACCCAAACCCCTTGAGTATGGCCAACTGGTATGAGCCAGATCACCTGTGGGGTTTCCAGGTCAACTGTGATGCGTGTGCCTTTCCTGCAGGGTCCATGTGTGTCATGTGAACGGACGGGGTGAATTATGCATGTGTACCCATCTGTGTGTGGGCGGGCACACGCACACATGGGAACAGAACTAGGCCTGCAGCATCTGCATCTGCATGCATCAGTTACAGCCAAACACACAGTGAGAACGTCCAACCCTTGACTCTGGCCACTTTATTCACTCTGCAGGACACTGAGAAATAACATCGTTGTCCTTCAGTTTCCCACTTGAGAGGTGAGGAAGGGCTTAAAACCTAGGGAGCACTCGAGAGGAAGTGTGCTTGGGTCATGCTTGAGGGTACAGGTGACTCCTTGACACACAGGATCCCTGCATACCGGCACTGCTGCTGCCCTGGCTTAATTCTTCTAGCTGTGTGACCTTGGGCAAGCTACTAGATTGTTCTGATCTCAGTCTCCCTTCTGATACTAGGTAACTGATAGAGCCCATTCTCCGAGGAGGAGAGCCAGAGGAGACACCAGGGGCTGGGTTGAGCTAGTCCCAGAGTGGTGTTGACCGCTAAGGGACTGTACCCTAACATGGCTAGGGCAGTGTCTTTCCACACAAGCAGGATAGCCACTCCGCCTAGAGGGCCCACGGGGGAGGGGGAGGGGGAGGGGAAGGGACTGCCACACTCTGTTGAGGAATGGAGAACTGCAAAGGGTCTCATTTCAGAGAGGCCCCAGAGATCTGGGCAGAGCCCCAGGCTGGGGAGTCACCTACAGGTGCGAAGTCCCGCCCATTTCTGCTCCTCCTCCTTCCTCAGGAATGGTAGTCCTAAGGGCGGTCAATCACGGCAACTGTGCTTGGTAGGCCTCAAGAACTGCCCCCTTTATCTTGGTCCAAGTACCAAAGGGGGGGGGGGGCGGAGGAAGGGCGCGCCAAGCCGTGCGCCCAACATGTTCAGCTAAGGGTGGGGATGAGGATGGCAAAGACCAGGTCCAGCCCCAGGAAG